TATATCATTCTTTTCAGCTGACAGAAGCACTTAAGCTACTTACGTTCAAGATGCATAAGCTGATGTCACACTTTCTAATCCCCTTTCCCCAGCAGGTCGTTTTTTTCCGATGCACAGTCACGCTCAGCCTGGCACATCCTTGGACAGTTTCTCCCAGGTCTCTACCTGGCACTGATGAATTTTGGTTTTCAGTTGTACTTACCTGAGACTTTAATATGATGTCTTCTCCTTAATCTTTCCTCACTATTCAGCATTCTCTCTGCCTTGCACTTCTCTCTACCCAAATCCACTCCCTTTATCCAGAAATGTCTTGTTTATATCTCCGCTCAAGCCAGACTTCTTTTTTTTTTATCTAAAAAAAATAAGAAGTCCTGTGCAATTTTAAAGAAAAAGACTGGTGTGGGAGACTGGTGTACACTTAATGACACTGGTGGTCTGCAGTACCAGGCATTAGGGAGAACGATCCTAATACGGCAGGTAGGGTACAATGTCATTGCTGTTGAAGAGAAGCTAAAATAATGTCTCCCTGTGTTTTTTGGATGTTAATAATTTAATCCTTTGGGATGGATATTTCTGTGAGATTCAGGTGAAAAATTAGCAAGGCCATGATTAGAAATGGGTGAGTTCATAAATTAGGATATGGAAGCCGGGGAGGAGGGAGCACAGAGGTAGGAATACGATCCAAATAGAATAATGCCAGTGAGTGATGATGATGATGATGACTGATATTTATTACCCTTTACTGTGGAGCTGGTACAGCTCTACCACGCATAGATATTATCCTGTTTAAGACTCATGAGCGCCCCACTGGTTTAGTGTCCCTTGGAGAGTAGGAGGAGCCAAGAGAGAGGTGAAGTAACTTGTTCAAGGTCACACAGCTCATACGTAGATGTGACTATTGGTCTGTTGGACTTCAAATTTCCAAGCCCTTAGTCAGTCGTCTAAAGTAAAGGTAAAAAAAAAAAAAAAAAGAAATGTTTCCAAAAGGAATGGCAGTGGACTGTTTTAGATGCTGCAGATAATCAATTTAAAAAATAACAGTAGAAAAGGGCCACAAGGTTTGATAACTGAAATGCTATTATTAATCTAACAGAGAACAATATTTTTATAGCTTATAAAAATGAAATTATTTTTTTCTATAAAGAAGAGATTTTTAGGAAAGCTGACAACACAGTAATATAATCCAAGCCTCCAAGTCAAATTCTCAATTGATTTTTTTATTTCAAATTTTTATTCATACATGCAATATGCAAAAAATGCACATTAGTAAAACTGTGGCTCATGAAAATCTTTCCAAGTTCTCTGTTCTCATCTTATTGAGGAGCAAGAGAATGATTAGTGGTCTATCCAATTTAACCGGCACACTAACGGGTAGTGTTCCAGGTAAACAAAATTTAAAGGGAATAAAAAGCGTTTTTTAAACATATAAGTTAATACTGTGAAGACAGTCCCCCATTCATCTTCATTTCTGAGGTCAGAAGCTAAATTCAATTGTAATTCAAGATTTGGCAATAGAACGACCTTTAAGGTGAGCTGCTCCAGTCTCTGGCATGTCCTTGCATGTTTCTTAGTCTAAATGTTAATGCTTTGAGCAATAAGACCTTGTCTTTTTCTGTTAGACTTTTGTTAAAATTCAGAAACATGTATATTGGTTTATTTTGGACATGGATAACTTAAAAAGTAATATCTATATTTGACTTTAGTTTACATTTTTACAGCACATGGAGTAAGCTTAAATGTCGTTGGGCACATATTTACATAAAATCCCATGTTATTTCTTTGGGGAAATGTGAGAGATTCGTTGGGTCTTGAATTTGCAAAAGATGCTTGTTCCCCAAGACAACAGTAATGGCAGATAAATTGGGTTTTCTACTCTGGAACTCCCTAGAGGCTCCTGCTGTAATACACGGAATGGAATGGCTGCCTTGGAAATTGTTCTTGCTGAAATGCCTCTGTCTACAGTTAGTCACACACATGAAAGTCTGCCATGAACTATGGAATGTAGAAATTTACAAGAATATCCTAACCTGTAGCTTTATATTTTGAAGATCTCGTAATATATACTCGAAGATAGGATGAGAAAATTGTTTTATCTGAGACTTAGAGTCACTGAAAGAAACAAAAGTGTACAGTAGCATCAATGTGGATATGTGCTTAGAATATGCCCAAGAAAATTCACCTTTTGGCAACAAGTAAGTTATTATTTAACTTGTATGAAACCCCAAAGAGCTAATGTGCGTACCTTTCAAACTGCCCAGGACTCAATGGAATCGGGGGAAGAAGAATTAATAATAACTGCTTATTGCTTTGTTGTGGATTGGTAGGTCTGAAGAGAGATAACACAACTGATTTAAATGCCTAGTGGCTTATATTATATTCTAACATTTTATTCAGTGCAGCTCTGCCAAATTCTCGAAAATACAGTAGTCCCCACCCTAACTCACAGCTTTGCGCTCTGTGGTTTTAGTTGCCTGTGGTCAACCATGGTCCCAAAATATTTAATGGAAAATTCCAGTAATAAATAATTCATATGTTTCCAATCGTGGGCCATTCTGAGAAGCGTGATGAAATCCTGTGCCTTCTGGTCGGTCCCACCAGGACGTGACTCCCTTTGCCCAGCGCCTCCACTTCGTAGGTGCTCCCCGCCTGCCACCCGTGGGCTCGGGCACCCACTGGCGTGTCCTTGGACGCGGCCTCCATGAATAAGGGGGCTACTCTAGTCAGTTCCTTGAATAGTCAGGGGGTGTGGATAATTGAAAGTATTATTTTAATAATTCTTGTAAAATATTCATGTTCATTTTCTCTTTATTAACACCTGTAGGTCACTTAGCTCATGCTACATGATCAGCCTCAAAATGAGCGGTGCTTATTTAAATTATTTTTATCTTTAAAAAGAGGAAAATGCATTCATGATAATGGTATGTTAATGGACTCTTACCTGAGGATAGCTTTTAAGAACTATTATTCTGTTTATTTCTTAGGCGTTTAACTCCCTTGTGCTGTTTCTTCCTCCCCACTTTCTCCAAACAATGTATTTTCTGGCATTAATATAGTCTGCCGCTTACCTACTAAAAATAAACAGCTCCTTCTTTATACCCATTACCCACAGATCCACAAACAGAATATTTATTGTTCAGTGGATTTATGCTGAAAAGTCATTTTATCATTAACACGCATCAACTTCTATACTTGGTTTATGTTCTCTAAATGTTTTTACCTCAAAACTTCAAGTAATGTTAGAAGGTTTTATCATGAGCTTTCAATTCTCTCACTTGAGTTCCAGTCTTCCCATTACCTCCTATAAATACCACAAGCTTATCTTTTTTTAAATATATCTTTATTGATTTCAGAGAGAGGAAAGGAGAGGGAGAGAGAGAGAGAAACATCAATGATGAGAGTCATTGATCGGCTGCCTCCTGCACGCCCCCAACTGGGGATGGAGCCCGCAACCCGGGCCTGTGCCCTGACCGGGAATCGAACCCCAATCGCCTGGATCCTAGGTCGATGCTCAACCGCTGAGCCACACCGGCCGGGAACCACAAGCTTATCTTTAACAGTCAATCCGGCCACTGTGATTTCAGTTTGAACCCAGAGAATCAACAGACTTCCCTCTGTCTCTTCTGCTCTTTTATATTTTAGGCGTAATGTCTGTGTGCAGAAAAACTGCATTGTTCTCAAGTTTTTGCACACTAGACAAACATATATTTTTTAAAGCCACGGCACATTTGCTGACTATTTACTCTGTGCTTTTGATACCCTGGTTCTGACTAAACTACTTTCCTCTCAAGAATTCTGCTATGTATGCGATGGATATAATTCCCCGTTCCAGGAATGCAATTGCAGCTTATGTTTGTGTGGCTTAGTTAAAATTAATTTTGAAAGAGTTATCCCATAGATGTCCTTTTCTAAATACTCTGGTCTCTGTCACACACATCGGAAGAGACAGGTAGTCAAGCCAAAGGGAATTGTCACTTGGATCAACATGTGAGCTTTGGTCTAAAATATTTCTCCATTTAGAGATGCTTGTGGTTTGTTCAGCATATAAAAATGACATTATTATGGACTCAGAATATACATCATATTTGAAAGTACTTATCAATCTTTAATGAGCTTTATCTAATATACGTGTAATAGCCAAGGAAGCTCAGTGCCATCCCTTTGGGGAGGAGGGGTTCATTTTCAAAGTAGCAGAACAAGATGATTTGGAGAGAGAAGACAGAATAGAGATGATATTTTATAAAATTCTATCTGGAACCTGTGATTTTGAGGTTTGTCTCTATATGAGAACCCCTCTATTGATGGTTGGACATTATTAGGACAGCACCATGACCTGGAGAAGAAACTATCAATTGCTCGGGAGCTGAAGTCAGGGTGGGCACAGAGGCATAATCTGCGCTACCGGGAGCAGGTCTCCCCACCAGAGGGCGATCGTGGCCTAATAGTCGGTTTTAATTAGCACGCTCAGGATTTCCAGCGTTGACACTGCCGCGCAGATACAGGAATGGTGCATGTATAAACATGATTTAATTCTCCGCAGTGTTTCATAATCTAGTATGTTTTTAACAAAGATATACCTTTCTTCACCCCTGTGACACTGAAACATTAAGTTGAAATATTTAGAAGTATATTATGCAGTCGGTGTACACACCCCTGCAGTTTCTTCTTGTCTCTACACTGAGTTTGGCAGGAACAACCAGCCCAACCAGGGATCTAGAATGTGTGGAAAACGGATCACCGACTCTGATCTCAGGAGGAAAGGGAGAGGAGAGAGACAAGGTCGCCTAGCAATCCGAGCAGAAACCCAAGCAGACCCGGGCAGGGGCCAGGCCCTTTGAACGCCGGTTGGTGCGCAGGGGGGCTGATGGTTGTAAAGCTCACTCCTGAACCCCGATTCCTAGCTCTGATTGTTAGAGAAGACTTGGACGGCAAAGCAGGCAGTCAGCTGTTGGGCCCTGGCCTTAGATCCCGCGTCCTGAATCTTGGTTTGTTCCCCGTTCTAGATTCCACCGCAGTGCAGCAGCCTGACTCAGGCATAGAGGTAACCTGTGCCTTCCAGGTGACAGCGATAATCAGGGTGGGTGACGACTGAAGGAATTATTCCAGCTGACAGTAAATCTGAATGAAGTCGATTAAAACCCTCGATAAAAGGTAAATATGATCTAAATTATGGTCTATTGTGATAAATTAAGATGAATACCATGAATTTTTTCTCTAAAGTTGAGAAAATTTGGATGTTTTTATGTAGTATTTCTTGAACTGTTATAATTTTTATTTTAAACATTTCTTTTAAATGTGACTATATTCAGTGGGAGTATTATTAGAACTTGACATTCTAATTTGTATGTAGAAAAATGATGTTTTAAGAAACTTTTATGTAAGTTAGAGAATAACATGATAATGAGTAATGTCTCACAAACTGTTAATAGTTAATGTGGATATTAATAATGTACATCAAATTAACTCAGTTCCAACCTGTAAAAAGGATTGGTTTTAATAAGTGTATCTGATGTATATGTATATAAAAATGTAATCTATCCAGTACCTTAGAACTGTGAAAATGCATTATTTTAAATTTGGAAAGTTCCTCAAGAGATCAACAAAGCCATTCATCCTAACTCTTCTATACTCACTATCTGCCAAAGCCTATACTTAATTTATCTATAAGATGATTACAGGATGTTTTCTCTAACCAAATCTCAATTTTTTAAAGACTTGCTCAAATTTTAATGAACAAATCTCTTATCCTACCCTTACTAATGTTATTCAGAGAATCTTCCATATTGAACAAAACAGACATCTCTTATGCTGAAATTCAAGGCCACCCCCGAACCTTTCATTCTAAAACGGGGAACTACTGATTGTCCTCTTTCCGTTCAGTCTCTTGGCTGAGTTTAGGGTTTGTGGCAGGGTGTCACCCTTATCAGAGCTGAATGACGCTAACCTTCCTGCTCTAGTTAAGTATGTTTGCCGGTTGGTTCGTTTAATTCTTCTCTGAACCTCCTTATATTAGTATTTTTAATATATGGGCATATGCATATTAATAAGGTTCTGACCAAAGCCAAAGGCAATAAAATAAGTCTATCACTGGTTTTTAATTGAGCAAGATACATACATACATATAAATTGCTTTTTATGTAAGTGCCCTAAACAGAATTAACCTCCCATAATCAGTCATCTTTCCCACCAAGTCCAGAATCATGAAAACAGGATGCTCATTCACCAGTAAATGCCTTAATGACCCCTTCCTAACCCTCAGATCTTGGCTACAATTCTTTTTCATGCAGTTTATATTCCCTGGATGTGTTTAAAATTATTTCATCTGTTTTCCCATTCTCACTATCACTGCCTTAACCAAGTCCTTCAACAGCCCTTTCTGAATTTTTACAAGCATTTTGCAAGTGTTTACTATAAAAACTTTATTCTTAATCTTGGCCTGAATAACTCCATTTTCTAAACAGATACCAGAGAGTACTTTCCAAAATAGAAATACGATCGTATTACATTAAAATTCATCAGTAAAACCCCACTTATTTCTGACACAAACTCCAAATGCTTTAGTAGGAAGGACAAGGTGATTCAGTTGTTTCAAAGCTTAGTCCACGCACATTCACGCACCCTATGAGAGAGACACGTCTGCAATGCTTTCACAGTTCTACGCCTCCAGCATTTTCACTGCTGAATCTCCGTCAAACCAGTGAACTAAACTGGTGTTTCCTAAACTTCGCTGGTGCTCAGACTACCTTTACAATGATCTCGTTTTATATGGATGACATCTACGTTCTTAATAGTACATTTACTTAATACTTTTGTTTGAACATGTTCACTCTTTTAAATTGAGTTTTACTCTAAACAGAATACACCAAAACTATGGCTTAAAATAGAACAGAAACTCCTGGTCATGTTGGAGAAACTGGTAGCGCGCTCACCTTTCCTTCGCAAACAGCTGGAAAGCTGCACAAGCCACGCGAACAAGGTGATTCCCGCAACACCGTGCAAGACTGTGGCCCCCGAGGGAGAGGGGTCCAACTAGGTGAGCCGCACGGTCACCGCCAGTTTCTGCCCGATGACTCTTCCTAGCCCCTGTGGGGGGAGGACAGCCTCCAGCAGAGGGGAGCCACCCCCTGACCCGAAAGGGCAGGAGGCTGGGCAGCCGCGATCTACAGGAAGGGCCGGGCAGAGGAGGAACCTACGCAGCGCGACCCCCGGAGCTCTCACTGTTCCCAAGACTTATTTCTGACAAGCCATTTGGAGAAAACACAGTCAAGCGCCCAGTGCATTCCTGGGCCTTAAGAATGTGTTTAAACTAAACCTAGAGCAAGGCTGCTCTCAACGGACTGTAAAATAACTAAAAATTATTCTCAAATGACCAAACTGATCTTCGATTTGCTTAACAAGGGCCCAAACAGGGTTCAAAACCGGTTAAAAAATACAAAACCCAGACACTTGGCGAGGTAGCGTTTATAATATCCAGAATCCACTTTTTTTTTTTTTTTTAAGTAACTAAATAGTCAAAGAAGCAGGAAAATGTGACTGGAACTGATGGAAAAACAGTCAATAGAGACGCGTTATGCAATTACGGATGGAATGAGCAGCAGGAACTTTAAAATAGCGGTTAATATACTAGGAAGCCTCCCTCTTGCGCCTGATGTAGGGGACAGATATCTTGAAGTAACCACTAGCTGAGGTTTCCCTCAATGCCATTGCCACAGCAGTTCTGATCCCCTCCTCCTGTGTCTGATTTTGGGACTAAGTGGCACAGTCCCTTCCTAGACAATCGCCAGGCGGTGCCACAGAGGCGGGTGAAGAGAGGCCCAGAGAGGAGGCGAGGAGCAGTGGGAATCAGTCAGAGCTTCGGGGGGAGGCTGCCACGGTTAGAGCTCATCGAGCATAAAAATAGCTTTGACAGTGAAAGGAGAGAACAAAACGCACAGAAACTAAAAGAGGGAAACACAGGAAAGAAACGAGCCCCGGGACTGTGAGGGAAAAGTGTGTGTTTGAGACAGGAGCTGGATTTCAGTCGCGTTACCCTGATAAAAAATGTGTGATGTAACCGAAGTACAAAGCTCCTGCTTTCTACATGTTGTGTTCCTATTGTGGTACTTAGGATTCCTCTTTAGTTAATATATTTGTAAATACCAATAAATCACTGCAATTGTCTTGAGCTTCCTGCTAATACAGCTTTCTTCCTCTTCAAAACTGCTACTGTATATTTTTAAAAATGTTCCATAAGTTGGAAAAGATTTACCATTACCTATGAGAGTCTTAGGGAGAATTTGTGGAAATATATTATTTATTTTTAATATTTTACTCATTCAAAAACTATCTATTGACTGTTTACTATGGTCTAACAGTGCTATAGTTATTTGGGATGGGTTGGCAAAACTAATTATCTGTTGTGAAATAAAATGTGTTCTAATCGACCTTTACTAGCATTTTAACATTCTTGGAAATTTTTACATTATCTAATAGCATGAGTTTCTATTATGCTTTGGACATAAGTATATTTTTTCAAAAAATCTGAAAAAATATATTTTTATATAAAAATCTTTATATAAATATCTCTCAAAGTCATGGGCTAGGTTAATATTAATATTTCCTCCCATGGTTTGCCTAAAATCAAAATATAAATTTATTACATGAATGCAATATTTGAAAAATAATAAGTATTGATACGAGTTAATCTTAATTTACAAAGGGGATGACTGACCCCTGAGTTGTTTTATTGGATTTTGTTTAATTGAAAGTCCTATAATAAAAAAATACATATTCTTCTAGTCTCTACTTCAATTTCCCTAATACAAAATTTTATTTTCTTAACATAAAAAAATAATTTTAAGCACTCAATAAATTAGTATTATGTTATAGGATGAACCTCAAGCTAATTAGGACTTCTCTTTTCCCTGGACTTCTGTTTACTGAACTACTAGGGATATTTAAGTTCTAATGGAACACTTTGTGCATATTTTTATATCAAAATTGCTCTAAAAGCATAAGTAATTATGAAGTAGAAGACATAAGGAGATCCTTGGGGAGCAAACAGAGTAGCTGAGAATTCTGTGAAGCAAAGTACTTCTGCTCTGAGGTAAGCACTGAAATGTCAGTGAGGATAATTAAAAAAATAAGATTGTGTTAAGTTTTAAAGACCATCTCTGATAGTAACCAATATTATAAAGACGCCATGTTTTGTTTCAGTGAACAGAAGCTTCCAATTAAAAAGACCTGTTGAGTTTCTTGTTGTTGTGTTGATGTTTTGATGATGGTGGTTACGTTGCCTTAATAAATCTGTAGGTACTATCATTTTTGAAAAATGATTTAATTTCAAACTGAAAAGAACCATAAAAGAGTTAAGGGGAAAAAAGTGATATCTGGAAAACATTCAGTTAAGGCAAGTATATAAAATAAACAGTTACATACTCCCTATCTTGATTGTGGTGGTGGTGATTTCACAGGTGTATAAATATATTCAAAGGTATCAAACTGTACACTTTAAATGTGTGGTTTATTATAGGTCAGTTAGTTCTCAATAAACAAATTTTAAAAACACACATAAGCACATTGGAATGTCACCTTAATATAATGCTGTCCTGAGGTCTTGCCCTTTGAATAGACTCTTTAGTGACTTTCCAAACATGACAAATCTTGCCATTCATTCAGTTGTAAAGATCTCTGGACAAGCTAAATTTAGAACTACATATTATAACAAATAGTCTTGTAATGAGGTTGTGATGTATGAATAAATACTCACGGTAATTTTAGTATATTGTTACACAGTGTAATTGTCTCCTGGGTAAGTCAGGAATTATAAAGATTTTATAATAAATTCGTGCTTGTGAAAGTAATTTATAATCAGCTGGATAATGTAAAGTCAGATTAGCAATGTACAAATTGACAACAAAGGAAACAACAGTACCAGTATTTCATTTGTGAAGATAATTTAAATTTGTGAAAATAATTAGTAAAATGTCTCTCTTGATGGGAACTAAACAGCAGTAGATGGCATAATATGTCTGTTGCAACTTGAAAATATTACTTGAACTGACGAATTAGTATTGGACTACATGCAACTTTGGGTTAGTTTTCTCAGTTTTGTGAAGGAAGAGTGAAGAGCAGGGATTAATGAATCTTATTAGTTCTTAGGAAACCACTAAACTTACATAGAATGTGGAAATAAAGGGAATATGAAAAAACAAGACCTCAGAAGCATAACTGCTTCACAGGTTAGAGATCCAAGGACTGATGAGTCTTATTTTTCAATAATTTATGCTTTACACAAATGTAGAAAAATAATTTCTGAGAAATTATGCTAATGGGGATATCAATTTAATAATTAAACTGATCTAAGCATTAGGTTTAACCCCATGAAATTGCTATTTTGTTACATCAAAGCGGTTGCATATTGGTCATGTCATAGATCTCTTGTGATGTTTCAGGGTAGGGTTTGGGCCACTGAGCTTGATGACATAATGTGTCCCAACAGAAAATCTATAATGGGCTATCAGATTTGAACAGCGCCACAGACCAAATGGACCTAGCAGACAAGTTCTAAACATTCCACACACAACAGAAGATTATAAATTTTTCTCAGGTGCACACAGAACTGTCTCCAGGACAGATAACAAGCTAGGTCACAAAACTGAATGTTTGTGTCCCCCAAATTCACATGTGAATCCTAGTTGCTAATAAATGGTGTTCAGAGGTGGGGTTTTGGGGAGGTGATTAGGTCTCAATGGTAGAGCTCTCACTAATGGGATTAGTTCCCTTACAAAAAAGACCTCAAAGAGATCCCTCACTCTTTCCACCAAGTGAGAAAACAGTAATCTATGAACCAGGAAATGGGCCCCAGGATTTGCCAGGACCTTGATCTTAAACTTTCCACCCTCCAGAACTGTGAGAAAGAAATGTTTATTGATTAAGCTGCCGTCTATGACTAAGACACAGCTCTGGCAAGGATGTGGAGACGAGGGAACACTGGTATACTCTTGGTGGGAAAGTAATTGATGCAGCCACGATGAAGGTTCCTCAAGAAATTAAAACTTGAACCACCATGTGGCACAACAATTCTACTTCTGGGTGTATATCCTAAGGAATTGAAATAAGGATCTCAAAGTGATAATCTGCATTTCCATGTTTCTTACAGGTTATTCACAATCGTCAAGGCATGGAAACAACCTGACGTCCACTGATAGACGAACAGATGAAGAAGAGGTGGTATTGACATAAAAGGAGTATCATTTATTCTTAAAAAAGAAGGAAATCTTGACATTTGTGACAACATGGATGAACCTGGTGAGCATTATGCTAAGTGAAATAAGCCACACACAGAAAGGCAAATAGTACATGACATCACTTACTTGAGAAATCTAAAATAGTCAAACTCATAGAAACAGAAAGTAGATGGTGGCCAACAGGGCCTTGGAGGAGAGGAAAACAGAGACATCACTCAAGGGTACTAAGTTTCGGTTTTGCAATATGAATAGGACCTAGAGGTCTATTATATAGCACAGTGCCTATAGTTAACAATGCTGTATTTTATACTTACAAGTTTGCTAAGCGGGTAGCACTTATGTTGAGTGTTCTTATCACTAAAAAAGCCAGTAATACTAAATAAAGAAGGCAAGAGAAAACCTTGGGGGTGATGAATATATTTATTGCATACATTGAACATGTACAGCATTTTTGTATGTCAGTCATACCTTAAAGTGATTTAAATAATTACATTGTCCTGAATGTAAATAATGAATATTGTGAAACCTTCCATTTGTCTCAAACTAACATATAAACAAAATGCAAACCCCCAAACATACCTTATGGGTGCTTTCGAAGGTATTATAAAATGGTTCTAAAGTGGATTCACAAAACCAAATGGGAAAGTATAACTAGAAATTTACCTGAAAAACAAAGCAGTGAGGAAGACATGATAGCAGTTATCATGGTTACCTCACATAAAAACAGTGTGTGGTTACTCCAAATTAGACAAATAACAAGGAAAACAGGACAGATAGCCCTGAAATAGACTTACTACGCAAAAATAACGCTTGCTGAAATTCAGAAGCACTATAAATCAATGGGGGTACTCATTGATTATGTTTGGGAACTTGCTAATTTATTTGAAATTTTTCTGAGGGATTCTTTACCTATCGTATAAAGTAGCATTATTGACTATTTTTATTTAGAAAAGACTCTACTAAGACACAATAAAAAAATTAATATTTGTCTAGTGATAGATTACTCCAACTGCTTTCCTAAATAACATCAGAAATGTAGAGATGGAAACACAGTAAACAGATATTTACTAGAATAGGTAAGGGGGTGATTATGCCGTGAAAACAATTAAAAGGTAATTTCCATGAATGATCATGAAAAGTAGTCATTAATACTTACAGAACATAATTATCCTGATAGTGACCTGTCCACTCCTAGTTATATTTGTTAGAATTTCATAATTTATCTCAGTAAACTCACATTAGTGTCAAATCCAGTCTTACAAGTAAGCTTTATAAAGTAAGGTGCTTTCTCTCAGGGCATTTTAATTCAAAATATAGACTATTCCTCTTTTTCCCTTGGTAGATATAATATAACTACAGCTTGTTAAGCTTTTTTTTTTTTTTTTAACTATAGAGATTTTAATGAGTTTTTTCAAAAGTTTCTCATTTATTAAAGTTTAAAGCATGACAATTTAAATAAATGTATTTAAGAGAAGTATCTTAGATTATCATTTCAAATGAGAATTGAAATCAACACTTTCAAAATCCTAGAGAATCAAAACATTTTTCTCCCCCCTAGTCTGAGGAACAGTGGGCAGCCGACTTAAAATAGCATCCTTTGTTGTTACTCAAGATTATTAGTGTAGATAAGCAGCAGACATCATCATGCTGGGAACATAATTACAGGTTGTATTCAATTTTAACTTGTCACTAATAACAGCCTTGTATTACCTGGGTCAGTATTGAAAGGTATAGAAGATTTTCCCTCTGCTTTCAAAATTGTCAGATATATACACACACAAAAATACCAAAGGGCAAATAATTTATATTTCTTGCTTTATTTATTTTTTTCTTTCCCCCAAGCCCCCACCCCCAAAACATTGAGAGCACAAAGTTGCTGCAGTTGAAAGAATTTCTCATGAAACTAAAAATGGAATTTCTTAGAATTAACCCTCCATTTACACTGAAGGAGTGTGGTTTTGTTTGTTCCAGAAATACTTTCTTTTTAAGATTTTAGATTTTAATTTTGATGGTTTCCTGCTTGGAAAGCTAATGGGCTTGATGGACTGAGAATCATAGTGACTTTGTCCTGAAAGTAAAAATAATAGATTTTCCAAGTTTAGTTTGAACTTGGCTCTGGTGGTGGGATCCACTGAGTGTGGCCCTGCTCTAAGGGCAGGAAGCATATGCATTAACCTTGTGTGTTTGCCCCAAGCCTTTTTTCTCATTACTGAGATGAAATAGAGTAAGAACTCGAGCACACAGCTTATGAGTTTGGATGGACTTGCTCGAGTAGCCAAATTAGTTCTTTATTTCCTTTGGTTTCATATTTTAGATTAGCTCTCAGGGCCACTGGAAACTCGGCAGGCTTGTTTTAATGTATTCTTCCTAAGCCATGGGATAAGCTTGGCTCCTGTCCTCTAACAGTGGGGGATCCCATGTTAGGGACCTTTGAGAACTAGCAAAAGGCTTTCTTGCCCTAAGAGAACTAGGGAACTTTCTTAAAAGTGGCTCAGAGTTTGGGCTTGGTCTGACCAAGACCCACCCTGGACTGGTTCTTAGGTTAAAGACAACAGAGATTCAGTAATCTGAGCCACTGTGTCACCTCCAGTGAGAAGAGTTTAGATACTTGGCTTAGAAATCATACGTTGGTAATGCCAGTGTGACAAACTAGCTAAGGAGATGGCAGCTTTGTCATTCCTCTCCTTTCCTACCCTTATTAAGTGTTAAAATTAGCTTTTATGTTTTATTCAGTCAAAATAGCAGTACTTGCTTATTAAATGGATGCCATACCATAACAGATGAGAATATTTAATGTTTGTGAAAGTCATTAGATTAATTAATAACAGAAACTAGCCTTACAATCACCTGAATCTCAACACACCCAAGTCCTTTTTTTATCTTAGTTTGCCCCAACGTTAGTCTCTTCTAATGCTAGAAATGTTGACTTTCTGCATCTATTTCTCATTCAAACACCAAGTCCTAGATATTCTTTCTTGGTAATATCATCTTCAAGGTAAAATAAGAATATAACAATATGATATAAATATAGAAAAGTCTATATAAATAAAAAGGGAAATGTAGTTTTTTGGGGTAACAGTATAGTATAAAACAGCATTTGATTAGTTAGTTAAGGTTTACATTTTTCTCAGGATGTGAAACCCTTATAAGCCAATATGACAGCCAAAATTTTACCAACTGGCTGTTGCAACAAGAGCACTAAGAAATCAAACTTCATTGCTCAATATCAGGATCACTCCAACTTATGAATTACATAATGTATCATACTCCCAAACAATGAGGTGTTCATTGTTGTTTTTAAGTAGGCAGCTAAATGTAAACTTATTTCCTACCCTTGTTAATTGTGGTTGATCTAATTAAATTATTTATTCTCTACAGTCTCATACTCAGTATGTATTATATGATTAAGGTAAACAGGGGTGACTATCCTGAAGACTTACAGAAATATGTATGTACAAACGAATGTAAATATGCCAGAGACTGTGTTTGAGAGAGGTGTGTTAATTTTCAGAATTCAATATGACAATAGATCAGTGGAGAAGATATTCTGAGGTGGGATCTTCGAGGAAATACTTGCTGTATTTGTCACTACTTATTTCTCTAGTACAGAAATATAGATAAAGCATTTTAGGATGAGTGATTCTGAGAGTAAAACAATAACAACAATGATAAAAACATTTTTTATTTCATTCTTGGTTGCATGAGAAGAAATGCAAAATATAATGCAAGGTAGCCACCTCAAATCCTTCCAAAGAAGGTAGAGTATTAATAAACATATTAATAGTAATAAGCAAAATAGCTAAGAACTAGCTTATAAATAGTTTTTATTACTACCACTTTTTCCCCTCTTTCCCTTAATTCATAAAATCTACCTTCTCCTTCATGGCCCTTGTTGAATTGAGAGTAGACAATGTGCTAAAAGAATACAGGCCTATCTGTTCAACCATAAGCTGGAACAGTCAAGCGATTTTGTTTTTCAAAGAAATGTGAGTCACTGTTCAAGTGACTAAGAAAATATAGAAGCAGATGCTGAAATCACAAACATCTTGCATTATATCATTTAGCGGAAGTCATATAAATACCATCATAAAATAAAGAACTTGGTGCACTCTGAGAAACATGTCATCATCACACAAATGCCTTTTTTATTGCTAGCAGGAAGAACACAGATGGCTCAGGCTGCTCATTTTGGTATTTATTAAAATAAATGTACTGAAGATCAGGTAGGTGCCTCATTATTTTTAAGATACATCCAATGTGGTAAAAAGATATTGAGACCTCTTTCAGAAATGCTGTCCAGGACCCATATGAGATGTCAGCTATTATGAAGACGTTTGATGAAAAAATTATTTTTTCTCCAAGTAATTCTAATGATCAGTATGGTTAAAATATTTTGACATTTTCAAGTGGCACCAAGGTGACAAGTAATAGAAAACGTTTAAGGAATAAGTCACCTTATACATTCCCTTTCTATTGCAAAAAAAAAAGGACAGGCGTGTGTATCTTACGGTTTCCATCCCTACACTTCACTTTTAAACCGAGTCACAGTCAAAGAGAACTGCTTTCAGGTTTTGCAAGGAAACCAACCCTATGGGGCAAAAACACTTCCCATGCCTTTCCGGCTTGTCATTGTTTCAGGACTTCTGCATTTCTTCATTTCCTGCATATTTTACCCATATATTTCTCTCAATACTACTTTATGATCTTATCTTTGATTTTAATATGTTATTATAATACATCTAAACACTTTTATCATTTTTATTTTTAACAAGTAAAATGCAATGCCATTTTTTAAAGTAAATGTTCAGAAAAAATATATAAGCTGGATTGCTTGAATTTTAATTCATAGAATTATCCACTTATACCCTGGGAAAAATACAGCTATGATTTATAACATGCACTGTTGAATATAAATAGTTAAGTAAATAAATCACAAATGTGTTTTGGCTTGAAGTTTTTAGATAATTGCCTCTCTTCCCTATTTCCCTGAAGTGAAAGTACATAGTCAAAACCAGATGCTGCTTTCAACAC